TTTTATAAATTCAATAAGTTATCGCCAATTTAGTACCAGCATATTCAATTAGTATTACAATAGTATGAAAAATACTAATAGATAAAATGAAAGTAGAGTTACAATAAACTTTTATGCTACCTAAATTGTTTTCATCAAAAAGAAATTCAAACAACTCTAATTTAGTTAAAATGTAATTTAGTATTTAAAATGTATCCTATAAATTATTGTCAAATATCGAAGACAATCCTCAAGTTGGATTTCCATTTTGAAAAGTTTAATATGAATTTGTCTATTTTAAAAAGGGGTACAGATAGTTGAAATCACTACAGCAAAATTACAAGTATAGCTTAGTTCAGTTAAAAAGTATTTCAGAAGGTTTGATTAATCAGTTATCAAAAGCAATCCTCTTGTTGGATTTCCATATTGATAAGTGATACAGGCATTCAGCACTGAGCTTACTTCAGTTACAACATATTTCAGTAGATTTAATCAATCAGTTATCAAAAGCAATCCTCAAAATGGATTTCCATATTGATAAGTGATACAGGCATTCAGCACTGAGCTTACTTCAGTTACAACATATTTCAGTAGATTTGATTAATCAGTTATCAAAAGCAAACCTCAAAATGGATTTCCATATTGATAAGTGATACAGGCATTCAGCACTGAGCTTACTTCAGTTACAACATATTTCAGTAGATTTGATTAATCAGTTATCAAAAGCAAACCTCAAAATGGATTTCCATATTGATAAGTGATACAGGCATTCAGCACTGAGCTTACTTCAGTTACAACATATTTCAGTAGATTTAATCAATCAGTTATCAAAAGCAATCCTCTTGTTGGATTTCCATATTGATAAGTGATACAGACATTCACCACTGAGCTTACTTCAGTTACAACATATTTCAGTAGATTTGATTAATCAGTTTTCAAAGGCAAACCTCAAAATGGATTTCCACATTGATAAGTAATACAGATAGTTGAAATGGTTACTGCATTATATGTACAAGTATGATGTCTTTCGNGTGTAAATTGATAGAACTCACTGAACAGGAGCTTGATCGTCAGTATGATCTGAAATTTAGACGATAATATCCCTT